AATGCGCAAGAAGCAAGATTCCGAGTGGGATCAATCAGTCCAATATTTAGGATAGAATATAGGACGATAATTGTTTAAAATTTTAGTTCGAGAAGGCTTTAGAAAGGAGGACCGAGAAACAATGTAGGAAACTGGCTTGATCCTCAGCAGCTGAAGCAGGCTGCATTTTCGTAGCGCCCCAACACAAACCGCTATGGTTTTTCGGATCCTCCGGACGCAGTGAATCCCAATAGTTTTTTTTTGGATAGTTAGCCGAATATTATATGGCACTGACCCCCAATCGGTTCCCTCCTCGCTTCAAACCCAGATTTATGCAGAGTTACTACGTCTGTAACGCCGCCCACTGTGTTGACGGCGCTCACCCCGTTCCCAAGTAGTTACGAGGAATTCCGACACCGATTCCTGGGGCCCAAGGGGTCTTTTTTGGGGGGAACAAAAACTCGTTACGAATTGAGAGAAAATATTCTTGAGAGCAGATGGGACAAGCGTAGCAATTCTATCTATTTAGACCTTACCGCGATGGGCTAAAATTTCGGCAATCAAACTGTGTGACCCGAAGCAGCTGACAAGAAAATCATATTGGCTACTTACCGCCTCCACTTTCATTCAGATTCTATGTGCATTAACTTAATTAAAGTGTGGGGTGTGAGAATCTCACAATTCCAAGAGTTATTAGCACAATCTCGACGCACTTAGAACTAACTTTCCAGACAGATGAAGTGAAAGAATCCCGAATCCTATCAGACGGGGGCAAGCGGAATCAACAGCCCCTGGCAACGCGACGGCAGAAGGCCTGGCGCTGATAATATTGAGAGGCGACCGCCTTCAAGCACCGCCTGGGTAGACCAGCGCAAAACCCTACCGATCAGCACTAGACCCACGGCCCCCCAGTCATAGTCAGGCCAATACACAGCAACACGAGGGCGATCCGACAGACACTAGACCACCGTCTACTGGTCTCCCTTGCTGGGTATCGCCTCCCAACGAAAATTGGTGGCAGACAGATACAACCCATATATGGCTCGAAAAGCACATGTGCGTTACAGATCTAACGCCACCTTCCACCGATTTTAACATGAGCGCAGAGCTAACACAAAATTATAAGAGCGTGTCCGAAGATGCCCTGTTTTAGATAGTTTGAGGCTGAATAATATCCTGTCCGTGCATTGGGTTGACACATGGTAGCAGAGATCAGGCCATTTCACTAAAATTGTCTATCTCCCGCCCCATGCAATACCATTGTAGGCGACACGTACCAGCTGCCGACGCTGCCAAACAGCAAAATGCGTATGTCATGTTAGCGAGCTATGGGAACAACGAAGCAAAGCCGATATTAACAAAAACAAGGCTTCAGTATACATTCTCAGGATTTCACAGAGCTCATTTTATTTTCAGTCCCGATGTTTTAGTAGTAGAGCGATTAAAGCACACATGGATGTAATGTTGGTGGGAGGTTTATTTTTAAAGAAAATGACGGTGCGGCCCTGACGTCGTGCAGACCTGATCCCAGTTGATTATTTTTCTAGAGTACATTATGAGTTTTGGCGGGGGTAAAGAAATTACAATTAACGATGACAATGGTGGCGAATGTAGAACTAGTATATGTGTGCGTCCCTGAAAATATGCGGGGCGCCGGATTGGAACGTGAGAGGGTATATGCCGACCCATGGCCAGAATCAATGACACTTGATTACATCCCACCGGACGAGCCGCCTCCACAGCTACAGCAGTTGTCATTCTGAAATTTTCAGAACCTCTAGATTACGCTGCGTCCAATTTCATCACCGTAAAAG